GTGACCGCTCAGACTGGAGACCTGAAAGAGGCCCTGCGGTACCTGAAAGAGTCTTTGCGAATGCAGCGGTCCTTGCACGGTGACGGTGACCACCCGGGAATTGCAGCCACTTTGCATGAGCTTGGCCGAGTGACCGCTCAGACTGGGGACCTGAAAGAGGCCCTGCGGTACCTGAAAGAGTCTTTGCGAATGACGCGGTCCTTGCACGGTGACGGTGACCACCCAGGAATTGCAGTCACTTTGCATGAGCTTGGCCGAGTGACCGCTCAGACTGGAGACCTGAAAGAGGCCCTGCGGTACCTGAAAGAGTCTTTGCGAATGACGCGGTCCTTGCACGGTGACGGTGACCACCCAGGAGTTGCAGCCACTTTGCATGAGCTTGGCGATGTGACCGCTCAGACTGGAGACATGAAAGAGGCCCTGCGGTACCTGAAAGAGTCTTTGCGAATGCAGTGGTCGTTGCACGGTGACGGTGACCACCCGGGAATTGCAGCCACTTTGGCCGAGCTTGGCCGAGTCACAGCTCAGACTGGAGACCTGAAAGAGGCCTTACGGTACCTGAAAGAGTCTTTGCGAATGAAGCGGTCCTTGCACGGTGACGGTGACCACCCAGAAGTGGCTGCAATTTTGCATGAGCTTGGCCATGTGACCGCTCAGACTGGAGACCTGAAAGAGGTCCTGCGGTACCTGAAAGAGTTTTTGCGAATGAAGCGGTCCTTGCACGGTGACGGTGACCACCCAGGAGTTGCAGCCACTTTGCATGATCTTGGCGATGTGACCGCTCAGACTGGAGACATGAAAGAGGCCCTGCATTACCTGAAAGAGTCTTTGCAATGATGCGGTCCTTGCACGGTGACGGTGACCACCCAGGAATTTCAGCCACTTTGCATGAGCTTGGCTAGGGTGATGGCAGAAGCTGGAGAACTGAAGGAGGCACAGAAGTACCGACTTGAGCTTGAGCGAATGCTCTTTTCCTTACGATCCTTACGAATGCAGTGATTGATGGCTGCAACAGATCTGTGTTTCCCATCTCGGAACCGGTCTTTGCTGCATTCGCTCAAACGTGGGCACCGGTAGACCCTGCAGGTGCAAAAGATCGACAGTTTCAATTCCAAGCTCAAATCGTGCATGGAATCGACCAGAGCAAGCTTGCTAAGCTGCTTGGAGGCTGGGCCAAAGCCAGCTTTGGTGTATGTGAGATTCTGCGTGTGGAAGTGAACTCTGAAGAAAAGGTGCTGATTTGGGCAGATTGAGGTGCATTTTTTGGGGGGGGAATGGGCATGAAAACTGACAGTTACTTGTTTCTCCATGAAAATTCCTATAATTACTGTACCAGGCAATGCTGAATCACATGCTGCTTATGGTTCGAGCTGAAGAATTCCATGCTGCTCAGGGTTTTAGGTCCTTCACTTCTTGCAACACCGCCACCACCGAGTCCCAGCTCTTCCAGCCCTTCGCAGCTTGTTCCGACCGCGCCAAAGGCCGGTGATGCACCGCTTGACCTGGCCCCTCGGCGATATATGGCGCAGCGTGGCGCAAACCGAACCGAGAGGCCTACTTGGGAAAACCGAGGAATTTGAGGGGGCCAATCAATGTGTTTCAAGATCTTTCAAACAAATCTACGTGATGTCTCGGTTCTTGGTTAAAGATGCTTAAAATCCTTTAAGTCAACATACATAATGAGTTGTTATAGTCATAGTCATCAGTTGGGCCCCAATAATATTTGTGCGAGAGGGGCGAGTTCAACTATTCAGAACTTATACGTAGTACTTGGCCACCAAGAAATCACATCATTTTCCTTAGAGAGGGCCTCACTCAGATGAAGTGTATATACGCAACCACCAGTCAGCCAGTCACCAGAACGTCGGGAGCATGTTCCAAATGGGTCGAGAAGAGCCGTGCGTTTTCGAGTGTTTGGCTCGGTCACCAGGTGGACATCCGCGACGTCACCTCGGAGGCTGCGCCAATGCGACGTCCGAGAAGCGATGTGGGGGGGTCGAAGTCGAAGCGGAAGTTTTGGGGGGACAGCTCATGTGGCTTATAGGTGTCGGTTGTGGAGTGGGTGGAGTGGTGATGTTGCGATGTTGTATGTTTGTGGTAGCGTGCCTCCCTAACGGGTGGAAGAGGCTTCTTTCGTTGTTTTGTTGTCTTGAACATGTTTGTTGAGAGTTGGCAGAATCTGTTTGGGGTCTTCTAGTGGATCACTCACCCTCTTGAGGGTTTTGATGTCCCAAGGGTACAGTGATGGATCTCCAGCAGCAAATCACTAATTTTGGTGAATCCTCAACTCATCCAGTAGCCATGGCGTTGTTCCAAGACCACCTGAATTGGCCTTGGAAGTGTCGTCACATGGGGTGTATACAGTGTATACAGTAGCTGGAATAGTTATCCAGTAATTGAATACCATTCAACTATACTGAGATAACCATCCCAGGTAGTGTATACTATAGTCTCCTCAGCTGCCGGTCAGTTCACCACCAAGCCCGAAGCAAGGCGGTTCACCTTCGTGGCCGCGGCGAGGTGAAGGACATCCGTCCACCTCGGTGAGAGCGAATCGGCGAAGCCCAGGTGTCTCCCCTGCGACGTCCTGACGGATGAAGACCAAGTATAATTCCAGGGTGTTTCAGGCGACTTCCTTTCCTTCTCGCCCGTACTTCGGGACACGCAGAAGTCCGAACATTATAGTTCAGGGTTGCTTCAGGGTTTTGAACTGTTTCCTACATGTTCCTGATATGGTTGTTTTGGGCTAATCCGGAGGCAAATGCCTCTCCTTAGCCTTCGAAACACGCCCAGCGTGCCTCAGCGGTTTTGCCAGGTCGGCTTCGTGCCAGTGCCTGGATTGCCACTGGTGTCGGGTGGGTGGCGGATGTTCCTGGTTCGGGAAACTTGTGGCCATCAATGGAGGTCCGGTGGCGCGTGGTGATAGGACTTGTACCATGTGGCAGAAAAGCATGGTTACTTGGCCCAAATCACAAGAATAACTCAGGTCATCAGGTTCTTATTGATTCCAGTTGCTTGCAGGACTGCTTGAGATAGTGACAGACGCAGCTCTGCAGATGGGGTTCTCACAGATTCTCCAATCCTGATGACCAAGCTGTCGGATCCTTCTCGAACCGTTCTTGGTGGATGGATGGCCGTGATTGGATTGTAGAACGTTTTTGTGACTCTTCTTTTGGACATACCTGTTAAGGTCCAATGGACAATAGTATGACATAGTGTGCCCCACCAGTTGATTGACAAACACAACCTGTGGCCACTGAGGTGTTCATTTTGCGCCAAAAGAGCTTCAACTTCCGGAAGGTCATGAACGCAAGGCAGTTCTTGGCGTGTTTCCTTGTTTCCTTTTCTTTGTTCTCCCATTTTAAGGATGGCTCCGTGTTTTGCAATTCTCGCTCTTGCTTTGCTTGACTGAGTGTACAGTGAAATTTCATCATCCACTCTCACAAACAAACTTAGCATTTGGTCTATTCCTTGAACCACTCCGCACGCCTCCACATCGGCTCCAGAGAAGGTATCGAGATATTTAACGCTTGTTTCTTTTTGCACCCTGCGATGGCATATCGGCAAGAAAGAAGTGACTCATCCCTACCTGGCGTGCTCACTTCGGTCCTAGACACTTGGGCTCCGCCATTTTTTGTCGAAGGCACTGTTGATACCTGTCCCGATCTCTCGATTGAGTCGGGCAGTGGTGAATCAATCGTGGTGTCAGCACCCTACCAGCGGGACGTGGTGCAGCATCTCTACAGCATGGCAGAGCAGTCTCAAGTCGGGACACTCGAACGCACTGTTATCGACACGAGTGCACGAAGGTCCAAGGAGTTTTCTCAAGTCAAAGTCACGGATGCCGACAGGCCTTGGCCGTTGGAGCAGGTGTGCGAGGAGATTCGCGCCAAGTTGGCTCCTGGGGCGACTCGAGTGCATGCTGATTTATACAAGCTACTTCTTTACAACAAAGGAGATTTCTTCAACATGCACAAGGATGCCCAGCAGCATAGCCACATGTTTGCCAGTCTACTCTTCTTTCTTCCATTCGAGCATGAAGGAGGCGGGTTGCAACTTTCTCGGCTGCAGACATCATGGGAGAAATCAGCCATGTTTGATGTCGCAAATATCAACAAGGATGGTTGCTGCTCATGGGTTGCCTTCTACACCGACGTGTGTCACAAAGTGCTGGATGTGAAGAGTGGTCACAGATTGGTTCTCAACTACACGCTGCGATTTGAGGGTTCGATGAGCCCATCCCCTTGCTTGCCCAAGCTCCCAACCAGAGCCATTGACTTGGTAAAGCAGACGCTGAAAGGAAATGCAGATTTGGCCATTCCACTCTTCTATGCTTATACTGCCGAATCCTTTGGAACAAGCTTTCTGAAGGGACGTGATGCCTACCTTTTCAATGCATTGCATGCGTGTGGCCTAGCTGCCTCTGTGCGATTTGTTCTATGCATTGACACGACCTCCGTTTGGTACTATGATGATTGCCCAGAAGAACCAGACTGGCACACAAGCTTTGATCGTGCAGTGCTTGTTGGTGAAGAGTTTGTACGTGAGGCCGTGCAACTTGAAGAAGAAAGGCATCAGTCCCGTGGCTTCGATAACGACGGGAGACAGTTGATTGCAAAGGGAGCTGCCTTTGCAAAAAAAATCATGGACGCCTCCAAGCGACCTCTACAGTGGGTGATGTTGCCTCAAGAGCCTTTCGTGGAGAACAGACTCTGGGTGGGCCACTCGATAGAGGCATTCGGATGGCTTGGAAACATGACACCGGCTGCGGAGCTCTACTACATCCAGGCAGCTTTGCTCGTTAGTGAGGGTTGATTTTTTTGAGACAAGCTGGACAAGTGCCGCAAGAGACCTGTGTGTCCCTGCACGCTTGTCACGGCCGAGATTTTGTACCGAAGATGTTAGTGCCTGAGGAAAATATCGCTGAAGGAGCAATCACAATACAACATAAACTTAACTTTTGCTAACTCTTGTTGAAAACTGAAAACAGATGTGAAATCACCTCATTGCCATTTGCCAAACACAGGGGTCAACAAGAGTTGCCATTGTACACCATGATTTTGCCTAGCAGGCATGAGTTGGAAAGAAGGCGATCGATTTGTGTTTGTGTGCGAATGACCGACATCCACCGATCCCTCGGTGAGAGTCCTCAGGAAGGTGACCCATGCGACTGGCGAGGGGCGTGTCACGTCAAGCGGAAGTATGGCGCAGTGCCGGGTGGATTGGTGATGTTTTATGTGAGTTCTAGTCCCCCATAGCACATGGAAAAGGTTTCCTTAGATGTTTTCGCTCCTTGATGTGTGATGGAGGTCCACATGTCAAACGAGTTGGTGAACTCTCAAACTCACCCCATAGCCATGCGTTCAAATTGGCCTAGCAAACCATGCAGATGAGACCGACTTAGAGCATCAGAACGGCCGCCACGTGAACATGGCCCTGAGGAAAATTTCCGTAGATCTTTGAAGGTTGCGGGTGCAAAGTGTCATGCTTTTGTACTTACTGACAAGTTGTCACTTGGGAAAATTGACGTTTGATGTAGATCTTCCAGGTAGCCCATACTGGGCAAATCGGCAAATGCTTCAACCCCATTCTGTTCATGCTTTTGAGTGGCACGTCACCACCGAGTGTCAGCTCTCCTTCTTCAGCCGTTCGGGACCCATTCCGCACCGAAGGCCGCCATGGGCCGCCTGGCCGCGGCGGCGGCCGAAGTGGGCCCAGGTGCCTGGGCTATACGGCGGTGGAGGATTGTAATTGCTTGGGAACCAGTCTGGCAATGTTTGGGTGGTGATTTTTCAGATAGTTTTAAAAAAATTAAACCTTTGCCTGGGATGATTGAAGCCACTGGATATTAGGCTACGAAACATTGTGTTTGGAGCAAATCAGGTATTGCGGTATTGTTCCGTGTTGAGTGGTCAACATTCCCTCCCCTGCAGCACTCCCCTCTCCGATGAAACAGGTATTGTATATCAGTATAACGGCATGTTGAAACACACCAACTGTTGTTTGGAGTTGCACCTGGTTGAACACATAGTCTCGGTGCTATATCGCGCCAAAAGTTGTGTTTTCAAATATCAGTGCTGCGACCACCATCCTGCAATTTCATTAGGGTACATGATGATTCATATCATGAGTTGGGCCCAAACACCGTTCATGCGAGAGGGGTGAATTCAACAACTGGAGTGTACAGAACTCTTTGGCCACCAAAGCCCACTCAGTATTCCATGCTGCTCATGGTTTTAGGTCCTTCACTTCTTGCACCACCGAGTCCCAGCTCTTTCAGCCCTTCGCAGCTTCTTCCCACCGCGCCGAAGGCACCACCGGTGATGCACCGCTTGACCTGGCCCCTCGGCGATATATATGGCACAGGGGGGAACTGAGGCATTTGGGTAGTCCGTTGTGTTTCATTGTGGTTCTTGCTTGTAAAGATGCTTAACGTCAACAAACATTTGAGTTCAACATAGTTCAACAAGAATACAGTGTGCAGAACTTTGGCCACCAACACCACCTCATTTTTGCTTACAGAGGGCCTCACTCAGATGAGGTGTATAAATACTCCCCAGCCAGTCAGCCAGTCCGTCAGAAGGTCGGGAGTCATGTTCCAAATAAGTCGAGAAGAGCCGTGCGTTTTCGAGTGTTTGGCTCGGTCACCGGGTGGACCTCCGCCGCGAAGTCACCTCGGAGGCTGCGATCGACCTCAATTGGTGACCCCAATGCGACGTCCGGATCATCGGAGAGGCGGGCCATCCGGGGGAGGGAGTGGCGAAGTCGAAGCGGAAGTTTTGGGGGGACAGCACAGTGGCTTATAGGTGTCGGTTGTGGAGTGGGTGCAGTGGTGATGTTGCGATGTTGTATGTTTGTGGTAGCGTGCCTCCCTAACGGGTGGAAGAGGCTTCTTTCGTTGTTTTGTTGTCTTGAACATGTTTGTTGAGAGTTGGCGGAATCTGTTTGGGGTCTGATAGTGGATCACTCACCCTCTTGAGATGTAGGTTTTGATGGCCAAGGGTACTGTGATGGATCTCCAGCAGCGTATCATGCGATTTGGTTAATCCTCAACTCATCCAGTAGCCATGCATGCGTTGTTCCAAAACCCCTTCAATTTGCCTTGGAAGTGTCATCACATGGGGTGTATACAGTGTATATTATGGTCTCCTCAGTTGCCGGTCAGTTACCACCAAGCCGGAGCATGTTCCAAGTGAGTCGGAAAGCAAGGCGGTTCACCTTCTTGGCGGGGCGAGGTGAAGGACATCCGTCCACCTCGGGTGAGAGCGAATCGGCGAACCCCAGGTATCCTTTGCGACGTCCTGACGGATGACTGGAGAGGCCATGGGGCTCACATCTTAGATGGTTTTTGAATGGTCCTTCATTGTGACGTGTTTGTTTTGAGATTTGTCATGTTTTGTTCAAAGTGTTTTATGATGTCATATCTTTCTATGTGAATCCGTTTGGATCTTCTAGTCGATCACTCACCCTCTTGGGATGTCAGCATCCCAGGTATCGCGTAGTGGAAGCTTTGATAGTCTACAGGGTGTGGGGTGAACTATGATGGAGGTTTTGCATCTAGAATCTATAGAAGGATGAATGAAGATGTCCAACGAATTGGTGAACCCGCAACTCACCCGCTAGCCCTAGCCATGTGGAAACCGTGCAGATGAGAACGAGACATGTTGCTTCCAGCAGCATCACACCGGACGCGTCACCTTCAAAGGAAATGGATGACTTCTGGTGATGAGCTGGTATGGGACATGTGCCAGGAAGGGCGATGGTTGTTTTTTGATTGCAAAGGCCCATCGAGTCCATGGTCTCATGTGATTGAACGTTGTTAAATGCTGCATGTAAGAAATCATGGTCGACTTGGGGTTGATGTTGGCCACATTGAGGATCCCTGGAGGGTGTTTGTTGTTTGGTCCTCCATAACGACAATGCATTCGCTATAGGTTAAAATAAACGAACTGTACAGTGTACAGCCTTGAATTCACTTGTACGTGCCTCAGTTGGATGTTCTTCACCGACAGAAAAGGCCTCGATCGAACCATCAATCTCGCCTCCCAGGTCACCCGGTTCGATCGCCCGGAGCGGAGGTCGGGCGGTCCGGACGGACCGCGGTCGCCGGGCGGAGCCTCGGAGGTGGACGGACTCGGCGAGCACGGGAGGACAGCGCAGTGGGTGGGCGTTTGGGAACGAAGGCGTGGCAGGGGCTGTTACTATTTTTTGTTGAAGATGAAGGAAACACATAGATCATCATAGATCCATATGTTTTTTGAACATGAAGAGGAACACACATTTCAAGAGGTGCCTCCTGGAAAACGATGTTTTAAATAGTGGAATACAAGCTTCATGAGGCTTTTCTTCTTTGAGGGTCATGTTTCTGTTTGTCATTTTGCATTGCTCACACAAGCAGGGACGAACTAAATGCCTCACGGGCACTCACGCCTCTGGGCACGGCCCCATCTCCGCATAGCTCGGTGCAGGACGGCTCCAAGGACGGCTCCACCGGGGAGAAAGCTGCTTCGGCTGCGAGGAGGTCGCCTTCCACCCCGAAAAAGCACGGTTTCGTTGTCTTTTCACTTTGAAGATGGCAGAAGAACAAGATACAGATAGAGATGATAGAGGACAATGTCGAAAACATAGTTGTTGATGTTTTTTGTTTCACCATGGCAGAGGAACGCAGTTTGTCATTGTTTTGTTTGCTTGTGCAGCAGCTTGGATGTTGGTGAACGCATATTGTGTGTTTGTCGGAAACTGCTTGGTGGCTTTGCTATGCTTACCGTAGCCTCATGTGAGTTGAGTTTTTTCAAAATATATATAACTTGCGCCCCAAGAAACATAAGGATTGGCGTAAAGTAAAGACATGTCTCAAACACGTCCAAGTACACAAGTCCTCCACAGATTGCCATGTCTCTACCATCTTTGAGCCAGTGAACTTTGTTTGACGCCATGGCTGGCTCCTTTGGTCTTCCAACCGAAGTGCTGTGGCCTTCCCACATGGTTGAAAGGCTGCCCCTTCAGCAGCTGAGTCAGCTCTGCAGGGTGTGCAGGCGCAGGGCGTAGCCACGTTAAGCTGCCCCGCTTTTGGGATATGATGCCTACCCAACTCACCGAGTGGATAGACGGTGACTCGTGTGGATTGGGAACAAAGAACACATTGAAGTGGCTGGTACATGATCGCTATATAAATTGTCCGCACATAAAATTCAGATTTCATGCCATATTGCTGTTGGCCCTGTGACTTTGCATGAGCATGCGACAATAAGTCGAGTAGTTAAAGCCATTGTTTGCCCACATTGTCAGGTCACTCCATCAGGCATGTGACCAGCAGCTCTGGAAAAGATTCCAACAAATCCGAAAAGCATTTCATGACATTGACATCCGAGTGCAAGCGGTCTTGGAGCAACTTCCAGAAGACCTGCAGGAAGAGGTGGAGGAGGACTCGATCGACAAGGCAATGGAACTGTGGGATTTCATGAAGGAGGTTCGAGACATGGCCAAAGGTATCCTGAAGCTCTTGGAAGTCACTCAACACCAACTCTTGGGTGCTGAAGTCACCAATGAGGATTTGTTGGCCATTTTGGCCGAGATCGTTGTCAGAGCAGAGCACGAAGCCGTCAGGGATGAGGCAATCCTGGACACCCGAAAGCTTCATATAGAAGCTGCTTGTAGCTTCATCCATGCTACTCGGCAAGTGGAGAAGTTGCTGCAACCGATCCTGCAAAGAAGACTTGTATCAGGCAACTGGGCTGTCCAGCGCAGTTTGGTTTGCTTGTGGTTGACCAGTTGTCCAGATTCATAGTACACACAAGTCAACGAATGCTATCCTCTAGATTCAGATTCAATTAGATTCATGTCTCTTAAATATCCTAGATGGGCCACTCTGCTAACTTCTTACTACCTTTTTTGCCTTGGTGCTGCCAGCTGCCTTTCAGGTCTACGTTCCTCGTCCATTGTCCTGCACCCGCCCATGAATCCTCCTTTTGAGACAGAATCAGTGTATTCCGTGACGGATCAGACTCAGAGCGGGACTCGGCCCTCTCAGCCGCGGCAGTTCCCAGGGACAATCACAGAGGACAGTGGGGGTCCGGGTGCAGGACCAGAAGACGTGCCGGAGTCGATGCCCGGTGGAGCTGATCTGGCGGAATTGCAAAAGCTCGAGCATCGACTGCTTGAAGCGACAGCTTGGCAGACCGGCGACAGCACGGAACTGGCCGTCATCCTGCACAACCTCGGTCAGGTGAACGGATGTCAAGGGCATCACGCGGAAGCCATGGAGTATCTGAGAGAGTCTTTGCAAATGAAGCGGTCCTTGCATGGTGACGGCGACCACCCAGAAGTGGCAGCCACTTTGCAAGTGCTTGGCCGGGTGACCCATCAGAGTGGAAGCCTGAAAGAGGCCCTGCGGTACCTGAAAGAGTCTTTGCGAATGGATCGGTCCTTGCACCGTGACGGTGACCACGCAGGAATTGCAGTCACTTTGTCCCTGCTTGGT